GAAGGGTGGGAGGTAGAAGACAGGAAACTATCGGAAAAAAAGAACAGCAGATGCTGGAAATCAAAAACAACAACAGAAATTGCTGGAAAAACATCCTCAGATCTTGAAGCATCTGTGGAAACAAGGCAGGGTTAATGTTCTGAAGAAGGGGTCACTGGACTATAATGTTAACTTTGCTTTGTCTCCACAAATGTTTCTCCAGCAATTTCTGTTTTTGTTTGAAACAGGAAACTACAGGCTGGCTAGCCTGACCATTGTTGCTGGTACAATTTTAGAGTTCATTGTTAAGGATGAAATTGTACCATATTTGGAAGTGCATAGTAAAATAGCCTCAGTCAGCACTGCTTCGTCAAGGAGAGGTAATGCCATACTTTTTCATACCTAGAATTCTTTGAGGAGGTAATGAGCAAATTAGACAAAGGAGAGCCATTGGACGTGATCAATTTGGATTTCCAGAAGGACTTTGACAGGAGGCTGCTAAATAAGATAAGAGCTCATGGTGTTAGGGGCAAGGTACTGGCATGGTTAGAGGATTGGCTGCCTAGCAGAAGGCAAAGAGTTGAGATGAAAGGGTCTTTTTTAGGATGGCAGACAGTGACGAGTGGTGTCCGTGTTGGAACCACAACTATTTGTGTCATACATTAATGATCTTGACAAAGGAACTGAAGACATTGTTGATAAGTTTAGAGACAACACAAAGATTAAAGGAGGGACAGGTAGCGTAGAGGAAACAGGAGGCTGCAGAAGGACTTAGATAAGTTAGGATAGTGGGCAAAGAAGTGGTAGATGGAATATGATGTAGAAAAGTATCAGGTTTTGCACTTTGGTAGGAAGAAAAGAGATGTAGACTATTTTCTAAGTGGGCAAAGGCTTTGGAAATCTGAAGCATAAAGGGACTTCGGAGTCCTAGTTCAGGATTCTCTTAAGGTTAACATGCAGGTTCATTTGGCAGTTAGGAAGACAAATGCAATGTTAGCATTCATTTCAAGAGATATAGAATACAATAGCAGATATGTACTACTGAGGCTGTTAAGGTTCTGGTCAGTCCACATTTGGAGTATTGCATGCAGTTTTGGGCCCCGTATCTAAGAAAGGATATGATGGCATTGGAGAGAGTCTGGAGAAGGTTTCAAGAATGATCCCGGGGATGAAGGGCTTGCCGTATGAGGACAATTGAAAACTCTTTGTTTGTACTCGATGGAATTTAGAAGGATGAGGGTTGTATTCAATTGAAACTTACATAATACTGAGAGGCCTGGATAGAGTGGGTGTGGAGAAGATGTTTCCACTAGTAGAAGAGACTAGGACCCGATAACACAGCCTCAGAGTGAAGGGACGACCCTTTAGAATTAAGGTGAGGAGGAATTTCTTCAGAGGGTGGTTACTCTGTGGAACTCGTTGCTGTAAAAGCTATGGACGTCATCTCATAAAGTGTACCTAAGATAGAGATAGATAGGTTCTTGATTAGAATGGAGGCTAAGGGTTACAGGGTCAAAGCAGGTGAATGGAATTGAAAAATGTATCAACCATGGACAAATGGTAGAGCAGACTAAATGTTTAGACCTCTCCAATCACCATCACCACCTGTTATTGAAGATCCTGTTCACCGGACCCGAAATGTTAACTCTGATTTTTTCTTCACAGGTGCTGCCAGACCTGCTGAGCTTTTCCAGCAACTTTGTTTTCGTTCCTGTTACACACTTCATCGTCTGATGTTTGCTGTCCTAGTAACCACACATAGCACACAGCAACCTTGCGCTAAGCAGTTGTGAGATTAGAAGGTTCAATTCTTCTATGCTGTAAGGCTCTATAACTCTATAATTACACCATGATAGCTTGAATGTTCAATTCCACATTTACAACAACGTTATCATCTTGCGCCACCAAACTGGGCAAGTGGTAAGGGTTGTGGTGATAGTCATCATTCGCTTAAGAAGAACTTCTCAGCTTCTCACCTGTACTGGTACCTTCCAAGGGATTCAGACTTTGTTACAGATCACCCAAGTTGGGGGTCTAAATGAGTCGAGGCTCCAGGTATCATATGACTGGCAGTATCTGTTGCTCCAATTTCTGCTTCCCAACAGGTCCTTCCTGTGTCATTTTCAAGGGAGAGAGTAGGCCTCCCAGCACTGAAAACACTCCCTGAATTCACGACACACAAGTCATTTAGGGATTCCATATCACTTTCTGACTCCACTCAAGCCATTAAACATCAAAACTCCGTTCTGCAGCATCGCTGAGTGAGCTACTTGACTCTACATCATCCACCAGACTCCTGGTCTCAAAAAATTCCATGTAGTGAACTGTTTTCTAAGGCGTTCCGCAGCCGTTGTCTCAACAACATAGGTGTGGGACCTATATCCAGTTACTTAATGATTCTGGGGTTCAGGGACCCACACATGCTGTATCTTATTCTGATCTGATATTCCGATTTCAGAGGAATGCTTTTGTATCGAAAAGAAGGTCAGTCACTTCAGCCTTGCACTCAGTCAAGGTTTTTCTTCTTAGCGCTTCTCTCTCAGTCTTCTTGGACACCATTTTGAACACCTGGCTTAGCATCATCTGATGCTCAGCTATCTACTCACTGACCTGAGCCCAAGAAGATGGTCCACAGAAAGGGCTGGGTCCAGTCTAAAGAAGAGATAATGTGGAGAATAGCCCATGATGGAGCGTAGATTGCTATTATAAGCATAAATAAGCTCCAGAAGCTAATCAGGTCACTTATGTTTACTCGATTGACCTTTCAAAGCTACCATAGGATTCTGCTCTTGAAGTTGTGCCCCTGATCTCTGAGAAAGCAACACTGAACACCAAACAGACAAACCAATCATGCAGTAACACTTTGGTTACAGTTGAGATATTTTAATCACAGTGGGAACAGACTGCTTGAATTCCAAGAAGATATTGTGATTTCAAGAATGTACTCAGTGCCAATACAACTGGAGTCAAGTACCACAAAATTCATTGCAAGTACCTCGAGATGTCTGTTGACAACCAAGGATCCTTTGCTAATATGAAGTCAATTCCCTGCTTTGGCCAAAGTACATGTCTCACAACTGCAACAGAAGTCATCAATATCAGCTATCATTCCAGGCCAGTAACACCACTCTCTAGTCAAGGCAATGTCCTGCTTGATCATGAACTGTCACCAACACTTCACACTTGAGACTAACAGGAAAAATGGGTTACTTCACCACTCTCTCCTTGTCAGCCAATAAAAGTCTCCATCCTCATCCTCGATTTTTTACCGGCACCTCAGCAGTTTCAGTGTTATTGTTTGGACTTCCTCAACAACTGGCAACATGTTGGCAGATACTGGGCCTTCTATAATGGTGCAGTCTACTGAGACCTATGTCAGTTGAAGGAGTCTGATGTCCTCCTTCAAGATAGATGGCAAAGGTGAAATCACACAGGGCCCTACTTGTCTGGACCTGTTTTGGATCTGAATCTTAGTCCAACTGTCATAGGGAATTGGGATCAAAATACACTGCCTTTGACTTGGGGCATGGGCATGGCGTCATCCAAAGCCCCGTCTAGCTACATAGGCAGGTTTCCTCCCATGGTCAGTCTTCAGTTAAGGGCATCAGCATTTGTATTACTTTTCTCTGACCGGTACAAAAAATGGATCAAAATGGCTAAAGTGATCAAGTGTAATGGAGACAGGATGGTGTCAGGGTAAGAGTTCAATGATCAGCCATGATCATACTGAATAACAAAGCAGGCTCGAGGGGTCAAATAGCCTACTCCTGCTCCTACATTTCTACGTGCAAGTTCAGCAGCCCATGAGATCAGTGTTGCTCCCAGCTTGGCAGACGTTTGGAAGTAGCTAGGTTGTTGTTGGTAAACACTTCAAATTCTGCACCAATGAGAATATCTCCGAACTTCTAGGGAAATAGTCCACCTCAAAACCAGCAGTTCGAGTTTCATATTGGAGTACTTTGCCGTGTTCTTCTCATTCAGCTTGAGTCTCATTTGCACTCTCTCCTGCCCTTGAACCTGTGACAGCACTGTTCCTCGGTCAAGGAAACTGGTTTCAGAACTTTGGAAACCTGGATAGCCAAGAACATGTGAGGAAACAAGCTAGTGCTTGAGGATGCAAAAGGAGTTTTCACATGTTGGATGATACTTCATGTGATACTCCGTGAAGCAGCATAGCTCGCATATCCTTTCCCAACCATTCCTGCAAGCAGTATCTAATTTCCTCAGCAAATCGTAAAGTGGGCCAATTGTGCACAGACTCACACAAACCTCGTAAACTTTACACAAACACTTTTCATTATATCTTTCTCGATATATGTGACAATAAATAACTCATAACTCAGAGTGACCAGACCAAGGAACCCATGCAGTTCCCTCGCCATCTGAGACCTGGCCCACTCTCTACCATAGATAGTAAAAACTGCCGATGCTGGAGAATCTGAGATAACAAGGTGTAGAGCTGGATGAACACAGCAGGCCAAGCAGCATCACAGGAGCAGGAAAGTTTCGGGTCTGGACCCTTCTTCAGAAATGGGGGAGAGGAAGGGGATTTCTGAAATAAATGGTGGGGGTGCGCGGATGGAGGATGGATAAAGGAGCAGATAGGTGGAAAGGAGACGGACAGGTCAAGGAGGTGGGGATGGAGCCAGTAAAGGTGAGTGTAGGTGGGGAGTTAGGATGGGGGTTGGTCAGTCAAGGGAAGACGGACAGGTCAAGGAGGCCGCCTGATTGCACAGAAAGTCATATGATTTTACTTAGACATTGAAGGAATCTATCATCTACAACAGGCAAACCATTGCATAGCTGCTATCAAATTGATGGCCATATTGTCAGAGGTAACAATGCATATGGGGGTCAGTTTCACTATGTGTCAACTTACAGTTATTCAAAATCAAACTCTTTCTGCAGCTCAATGCATAATTTACAACCCTAGTTCAACAAATGTTAAGTGTTTATGTATTTTCTTTATTCAACCCGTAAAATTGAAAAAAAACAAAGAAAATGCATAGTTATGAGATTACTTTGGTGATCCCTTTCTTCAGTACATACCCCTCTGCAGAATTGAATGCTGTTTCGTATCTGTGAAATGTGGGATACATTGTCAGTCTTATCTCCTGTCCCAAATTGAAGAACTCTTTGGTCAAAATACGAGATAGCTGTTGGGTGAAAACACAACAATTCCAAACAATGAAACAAGTAAAAAATCAAGTATGACATTACAATCCTGTGACTTTTAACTTAAAAATCAAATCCAGTCCCTCCAGCTATTCGAGATAGTAGGAACCGCAGATGCTGGGAAATCTGATGAAGGGTCTAGGCCCGAAACGTCAGCCTTCCTGCTCCTATGATGCTGCTTGGCCTGCTGTGTTCCTCCAGCTATTCGCCTCTTTAGGTTCCAGACAATCATTCTGGCAAAAATAAGTAAATGTGACCTACTCCCTGGCTTTCTTATAATGCTGTTTCTAAGTCTTCCATATCACCTAAACTCACTCACAATTTATCCTCGTGTCTGGAGCAGGGGAGCATTCAAAGTACACTTCATAATATTAACAACTAGTAATATGCAGCACTGCACTATTGACAAACCTTTGTGACAATAAAAACAAAAAACGTTGGAAATATAGAGCATGACAAAGAGCATCTGATGAGCAAGAAACAGATGGCTGGACTTCTGTCTCCAGTGGAATGTGAATCAGTTCACAAAACAGCAGATTTATTTGTTTTGCTGAAAACTATTTTCCTTTGCCTTCCGAACTCCAGAGCACTTTTCAGTAGCTTTATCACAGGACAGAAAGGCCTGGAATGGATACAGGGACACACCTCTTCTGAGATCTGTATTCCCAAAGTGAGGATCTCACATAATATTTTTGTCTGCTGGTGTGGGTTTCGGAAATCAAAAATAAATGTACATCTTCAGAGGGTTTGTGACTTCTGGGGAAACCTGCTAAGATGTCAAGAACATTCTAAGAGGTAAACGTAAAATGTATGGATACTTTCAAATGTCACAATTAAATGCTGTATTTTAGTATGTGTTTTTAGAGTAACAATTCATCATAGGGACATGTCCTGCAATGGTAAGTTGACCCTTATATTGATCATGTTGAATTATTCATTTCTTTACTGTATTTTTCCAATTGTTAAAATCCCATAATGCATGAAAAATGTAAAATAAGATGGCCTGTGGCATCTACAATTTTTATTTTGTATATTGATGTAAATCAACTGATGGCTCTGGCTGTTAAAAAGAAACCTACTTTTGACAGTTGACAAACAAAGCTGTGCAGTTGTTCCCCTTAATTGATTGACTGACATTCTGCATGGAAATAGAACACTATTCTGCTCTGTCAGTTCAGGTTATGCAGCTTGAAGTTTTGATATCCCAGTGGTAGCCTTTATGAATGCTTGTCTACATTTCAAAACTAATATTGGCTTCAGTTCAGTAGATGGTTAATAGTTCCAAAAACAACTGAAACTTTTAAGGAACAAAAATAAAGTTGCTGGAAAAGCCCAGCAGGTCTGGCAGCATGTATGACGGAAAAAACAGTTAACATTTCAGGTCCGGTGACCCTTCCTCAGAACTGATGGTGGCTGAGAAAACGTCAGTTTATATGCAGAAAATAGGGAGGTGGATGGGGTAGGGAGTAAACGATAGGGTAGGGCCTAAAGAGACAGAAAGACAGTTGGACAGACAAAGGATTTGCTAATGATCAGGCTGGGAGGGTGAATAGTTGTTAATGGGGACTGTTAGTGACTAACAATAGGGGGTTTGTAATGGCAGGCTATGTGATAACAAGAGATAGTAGGAACTGCAGATGCTGGAGAATCCGAGACAACAAGGTGCAGGGCTGGATGAACACAGCGGGCCAAGCAGCATCATAGGAGCAGAGAGGCTGATGTTTCGGGCCTAGACCCTTCATCTGATGAAGGGTCTA